CAGTCGTTGTAGGCATCAATAGCAGATATCACCGCGTATGCTGCATCACAATCTGTGACGTCATACTTCATCCATTCGACACTCAGCCAAGGCGGGAAGGCATTCTTGATGACGGGATCTTGCATAGCCAGGTCGAGGACGGCTCCCACCTAAAGAAAAAAGTTTATGTAAACAGAAACATAAATGTATGTAAATGTACATGTAGGAAAAAGACGCGTTCGTTTTACTTAACATAACATCACGCCTTTTATCCCCGAAGGGGCAGGCAGAGGTGCACATTACGGCACTTATAGCCACTGTACTATGTAACACCCACTTTTTACTATTTATGTAATGAGCCCCATGTAATACGGGGGGAGTGTATTGCCATATCGGGCACAATTCCAGACTCCGTACTACTACTGAGATCATTTGTAAAAACCCAGTAATACCTTGCCCAACCTGGGAATCAAACCCGAAACCCCTTGCCCGGCAGTTGCCAAACGAGGCAGTCAACGCGTTCGTTTTATAATACAGAATCAAATAAATAAGTATTGAAACAGAACACTTCTTTACTTTGTTGGTCCATAAATATAAAAATCAAAGCCTTCCAGAGAAGATATAAATAATGAAGAATTCCAAGTTAACCCTTTTATTTGTAATTTACATTAATATAGTGGTACGCTTTTACCCGTGGTTGTAAAAATAGTTTAAGAAGATTAACATATTAAATCTTTATTGGCTGCAAAGGTCGTAAACATGCTGAAAATAGCTGACCAATGTTGGCCACTTTATAACTCTCACGATCCCAGAAAAAAGACAAGCGACGGTGACAAATGTATTAACAAATATATTAATGAAACATAAAACAATTTTTTTTTGTTTATCCATTGTTATATAAATCAAAGCTTTTCAGAGACGCTACATAGCTGATTAAGAGATTCAAGTTAAGCCTTTCATTTGTAATGTACATTAATATAGTGGTACGCTTTTACCCGTGGTTGTAAAAATAGTTTAAGAAGATTAACATATTAAATCTTTATTGGCTGCAAAGGTCGTAAATATGCTGAAAAATAGCTGACCGTTTTTCGACATCTTATTTTATTACAATGCAACCTTTGAATCACTTTTAAATATGTAGTTTCAATTACTTTCTCAAACATGCTCTATTTATTATTCTTTTATAAACAAAGTCGCTATCCGCCGTCTGTCTGTCCCTATGTATGCTTAGATCTTTAAAAACTAAGCAACGGATTTTGATGCGGTTTTTTTAATAGATAGAGTTATTCTTAAGGAAGGTATGTATAATACATGAATATTAAACCCGTGCGAAGCTGGGGCGGGTCGCTAGTTCTTTTATAAACTACGTTTAATAAAACCGATTGAAGTCGATTAATTGATATACTAAAACCTTCCCCTAACTTTAACAAACCCTTTTTTGGAAACCGCACTTTTCTGAAAAGGAATAGTCCACTATAAGCCTATGAGCCTCCTCTACATTAAAGAGCTTCCCATAGTCTCCGCGCTTAGCAGGTTTGGAGTTCACAGTTTTAAAAGATTCAAGTTAATAAAGCCCGTCTCAGGGACATGAAACTGTCTTGGTTCCCGCAACGAAATGAATCAGAAGATATTATAAGAGAAGAAGAAAAATAAAAAACGGTATTAATTAACCTGACATCCCAATCACCAAGGCCCAATTACCCCACCAGTCTCCCCAATCCCCAAATCCTCCACAATCCTCAAATCTCTAATTTCCAAAAGGCCGGTAACGCTTATAATGCCTTGTTGTTTCAGGTGTCCA